TCCCCTATAGTATTATGGGAAATCAGTGGAGGAACTTCAGAGTTCAAAATAAAGATTGCCAGAGGAGATGACCCTTGAGTTGAGTCTTGAGAAACTTAGGCAAATGGGGTGTGGAAAGGCAGGCATTCCAGATGGAGGAAATGTATTTAAAGATACAATTGTGGGAGAAATTATATATTCTGGACACTGCAAATCATTCCAAATGGGCACAGGCCTGGAGAGGTAGAAAAAGTTAGATTATGAAGGATCTTACAACCATGCTGAGATGTTTAACTTTGCCCTGAAGGCAATAGGGAGTCACTAAAGTGTGGTAAGCAGGATCCTGGGAGATGAAACAGAATTAGGTTTGTGTTTCAGAAAGGTTAGAGAGACTGGCAGGAAGTGTTTAAAGTTGTTCTATAAAAACTTTTTTTTTTCCAGTCAGAGCAAGGGGCCTGATTGTAGGAGGCCTACTTCTGAAGGGGTGGATGGAAATACGTGCATGAGACAATGCACATTCCTTCCCATGTCCCCAGTACTGTGTGGGGCCGTTCTGGGGACTGAAAGGAATGGCTTGACAGTGGGCTGTAATCACCTTTCTTCCATGTGTAAAGAGAGTCCCACCTGAAGAAGGAGCCCATACATAGTGTCAGTCCCCAAGTTTTGTGATTGGACTGGGACTATGTTATATCCCTCTGACCAGAGGTAAAAATGAAACAGGAGTAAATACAAGTGAGGCTTTAACTTTGACTGTGATTGGGACAAGCTTGATGGCTCCCATATGAAACACAAAAATATGACCTTTCCATCTGAGGAAAGACAGGGAGCCAAGAGGCAAGTCAACAAGGCAGATTGGCTGCAGATTTATACCTGCCCTTTGGAGATGGAAGTTTGTTCCTGAAGAACGGAAACTGTGGAACCATAGCTGAACAAATGAATGGAGCCATGTGTGTTGCTTTTATTCCCATAATAATTTCATTTTTATTTTCCCTTAAACTATAGTAAAGTTCATTTTGAAAATCCTAGATTGCTTTGGTTGTAATAAAGGAAGTCAAGGAAACTTTTGCAGGGAGGGGGTGTTATTTGAACCAAGTTAAAGGAGACTAAATTACCTGGGGAGCCAAGAGAAACTGGAAAGAATCTAAGGTGAACTTCAAGGGGACAAATTTTGGGTTGGGCTTACTTGGCCACTTGTGTCTCTCAGTCTGGAGAGTCTCCTTCCAGGGGTATGTATGATCTGCTCATACCTTTTAAAGCTCTATGTTTTAATAGATTATTTTTCACATCGAAACATGGATAGCAGCAGTATTGTTAAAAGAAACCCTGAATCATCTAAAAGACATTCCATTCCTGGGATCCAGATTTTGGACACAGATAGTGTATATAATGATATTCAAGCCTTTAAACCTCCCCACCCACACAAACTGGTAATCATAGCAGAAGACGAAAAGTCAGAGCAGAAAAGAAAAACATTTCTTTATTAAGAACATCTACACATTAGAATTAAGTTCTGTTTGCTGTCTATCAGGATTCACTTTAACCAGATTAAAACATTAATTGTTAACCTCACCATCATGATTATGATCAATGAAAATTATTTGAGCACTGACAAAGGAATATTAGCACAATCTATGAAGTTATCAGTAATCAAATTTCAGGTTCAGTTATTCCACTTATGATCACTGCGATATTGCTTCATCTCAGGGGAAAATATTAAGTCTTAGACAGCATTTCTAGATCCATCATTACTCTCTGATTCTGTGGATCCATTTATGGGCCAAGTTATAAGATCTCAGCATTAATTCATAGCTGTGAATGCCTCTTCAAATCCTGTTGCTTGGTATATGGCGAAATAAGAGATTAAAACAGCAACTTCAAATTCTAATTTTGAATAGTGTAAAATTGGGCTGTACTTCAGACCTTATTAATTTGTCTAAGTCTTTTGACTTTGTTATAAGATAAATTGCATGGAAGCCTTTTGGCATTACAAAAAGGAATACTGTCTTTTCTATGTGAAGTCATTCATTCATTCAAAAATATTGAGTATCAACTTTGTGACAGACACAATAAGTAATAAACACTGGTGGTGTAACTGAACTGAGCAGACAAGTTTCTCCTTTTGTGGAGTTTACATTTCTAGTGGGAGCAGAGAGACAGATATATGTCAGGTGGTACCAAGGGCTGAGAAATGAGATGGAAGGGGGTGCAGTTTGCATAAGATAGAAAAAAATGGCATGAAGATAAAAGGGGACAATCATGTGAATAGCTAAGAACCTTCCAGGCAGAGGCACATGCAAAGGTTTCACTATGAGTTTTTGGCTTGTTGGCAGAAAGGGAATCAATCTGAGAAGCAACGTAGGTGTTAAGGCAGCAGCATCAGGGTGTCAGATCAGGAGGGATGTTTTATTGGGTTTGCTTTTATTGGGGTGGTGGAGCAAGGAAGTGGAAAATACAGAGTAGTAAATCAATGAGAATAGATTTCAGGACAGAACAATATATTTAACATGGAAAAAAAGGAGAGAGTGTATGGGAATGTCAATTTCTTAAATTAGGATTCATTTCTTTACTGAAATTGTGATCTGATTTGATTGCAGTGCTTTATAGTCTTTCTCACTCTAAGCTCAAAAGACTGAATTAAAACTCCAAAATTGAACAGCAAATGATGGAGGGTTAAGATCTCAGCATTAATTCATAGCTGTGAATGCCTCTTCAAATCCTGTTGCTTGGTATATGGCGAAATAAGAGATTAAAACAGCAACTTCAAATTCTAATTTTGAATAGTGTAAAATTGGGCTGTACTTCAGACCTTATTAATTTGTCTAAGTCTTTTGACTTTGTTATAAGATAAATTGCATGGAAGCCTTTTGGCATTACAAAAAGGAATACTGTCTTTTCTATGTGAAGTCATTCATTCATTCAAAAATATTGAGTATCAACTTTGTGACAGACACAATAAGTAATAAACACTGGTGGTGTAACTGAACTGAGCAGACAAGTTTCTCCTTTTGTGGAGTTTACATTTCTAGTGGGAGCAGAGAGACAGATATATGTCAGGTGGTACCAAGGGCTGAGAAATGAGATGGAAGGGGGTGCAGTTTGCATAAGATAGAAAAAAATGGCATGAAGATAAAAGGGGACAATCATGTGAATAGCTAAGAACCTTCCAGGCAGAGGCACATGCAAAGGTTTCACTATGAGTTTTTGGCTTGTTGGCAGAAAGGGAATCAATCTGAGAAGCAACGTAGGTGTTAAGGCAGCAGCATCAGGGTGTCAGATCAGGAGGGATGTTTTATTGGGTTTGCTTTTATTGGGGTGGTGGAGCAAGGAAGTGGAAAATACAGAGTAGTAAATCAATGAGAATAGATTTCAGGACAGAACAATATATTTAACATGGAAAAAAAGGAGAGAGTGTATGGGAATGTCAATTTCTTAAATTAGGATTCATTTCTTTACTGAAATTGTGATCTGATTTGATTGCAGTGCTTTATAGTCTTTCTCACTCTAAGCTCAAAAGACTGAATTAAAACTCCAAAATTGAACAGCAAATGATGGAGGGGGACTGAGAAGAAAGTCAGTTGCAGTTAATATGCACAAATGTTAATACCAGAAAAGCAAACGAGGGCTGAAAAATACCAAATTCCAAAAATTCAGGCTATGTGTTTACACAACTGTCTTTTGTATTTAAAGATAATGCTATAGTGTAGATGTGATGGATTCCGAGGGGTTGGGAAGAGCCTCTTCCACTGGCTCTGATAAAAATATATCCAGTGCTTTGTGGATGGAGCCCTCAGTGGTAGATTTTGTGATGTATCTCCTTCCTGATTGTAACAGTTTTTGATCTGCCCATCTGCTTCCCTTGGCACTAGCAGCCTATGTCAGTGATTCACCGTTCACATTATGTTGCTTTTTCTTAACCACTTCCCCAAGTGGGAGTATACAAAATATATCCCTAAGTAGATCTTCAAGCCACCCCAGGCTGCTGCCATAATTCGGCTGTTAATTCAGTTAGTGATTTGATCCATCAGTCTCCTGGACCACCTGCTTGCACTGGATTTTCATTGTGAAGACATAGTGAAGATCTAGCAAAAGCATTGCGAGGGAAATGACCATATTCAACCCACACGGGCAGTATATAGCTAGCTCAGAGTAGCAAGCACAGAATATGCAAATAATAACCTAAGAAGACCAAAAGCAGGTGGACATTTCATTTACACATCACTCTGAGACAAACTAAGGAAACCCCTTTCCTCCATATCCACCATGAGCTCCATGGAGACAGGGACTATAGCTGTTTTTCTCAAGACTGATTATGAGTTAACATATGTTAAACGCTTAGATTAGTGTTTGGCATGTAGGCGCTGAATAAATTGTTATTCTCAGCACCTAACATATACTTGGAGTTGGCTAGAAGAATGAAAAAGGCACCTACTTCTGTTGAAGTCCTATTATCCCACCATTGGAAAACAATGACATGGTCACAGAGTTGAGGATCATAATTGCTATGGCACAAACCCGCCTCTGGGACACAGTAATACCAAACTTTTGAACGGGAAAGGGTCACAGGGGATGGAGAAGAGAGGCAACTCTTGGTGAGTTCCCCCAAAGCTCTAGGACAGTATTGTCCTCTTCTCCAAGGAATCAAAAACCACAGGCCTTCTCTCCCATCGACTTCCATCCCTGGTGAGGGGCCTCTTCCTAAATTTCCACCCGTAGGAATTCCCTTGTCCCAGCTTCAAGGGGCGGGGAACAACCGCAATCGTTGTCGGCCGCCGCGCCCCGCCCTCTCCCCGAGCCCCGCCCATCCTGCCCGCCCCCAGCTCCCCTCTCCTCAGCCCGCGCCCTCCACTCTCCTCTGCCTCCCCACCTCCCAGGCCCTGCCGTCGGCGCGCGCCGCGCTGCGAGGAGAAACCGCCAACCCCGCGGCCGAGGCCGTTTCTCGCGGGCGCGCGGCCCGCGAGGAGGGGGCGGGACCTGGCAGGAGGGGGCGGGGCGGAGAGCCGCTCGCGCAGCGCCGGGGCTAACGGACGAGCCGGGTCCAACCGCCACCCGTCTGCTTGTCCGGGACCCCGTCAGGAGCAACCCGCCGAGTTTGTCCCCGTCGACCGCGCCCGGCCCGGCGCCGCCTGACGGAGGGGGAAGTGGTCCGCTCCGGCCGGCCGGCTGCGGGGGTGAGGCTGCCGGGAAGGGGCTGGGGGCGCCGGCGGGGCCGAGCATCTCTCTCCGCGGCCCGCTGCCCCCCGCCCCCCGCCTCCTCCCCTCCCCGCGCCTGGCCGTCCCGCCCAGCTGAGACCCCCGGCCGCCGCCGGAGCCCAACGCGGTAAGTACGACTTCCTCCCCGGCGTCGGGGAGGGAGCCGCGGCGGCCGGCGGCGCGGCGAGGCCCGCTCCTGGCTCCCGGCCCCCGCGCCACCCCCCCGCCGGGCCGCGGCGACCGGTCCCGCGGGGAAGGCGCCTCCTCCGGAAGGCTTGGTTCCGCCGGGACCTCCCCGACCGCTCCGGGGCTGGAACCCGACCCGGCCTCCCCGCCCAGCAGCCGCGAGCCCGGGAGCGGCGTCCGGGCCGCCCTCGAGTTGGGCAAAGTTGTGGACGCGGGGTGGACCGCTGTCCAGAGCCATTACTTCTTCCCGGTGCTGTTATACTGATAAAACACAGTGGAAACCATTTCGGATTTTTTTTTCATTGTTGCCGTCAGGCTATCATAATCTAAGTTTTTATTCTAAGTAATTGCCTCTTCCTCCGGGTGTGGAAGATCAGAAAGGGAGTTTATTTCAACAAAAACTGGCGTGCCTGGTTGAAATTTTGATTTGGCTATTTCACTGCGTGCTCTAGGATCAAAAGCTGACGAAGAAAGTTTGCTGTATTAAAGAGTAAAGCTTCCTGCCATCTTTATTATAGTACCATTTGATTTTTTAAAAATATTTTCGAATAGCTGATGTATTCACCAAATTCAGAAGATACAAGAAGGGGTACAAAGTCTTTCTCCCCACCCACTCCTGTACTCCCAGCCAACCAACATAACCAGTTTCTCATGCATACTTTCAGAGATTATGTATACACACATGCCCTTACTTCTCTCTTTAAAAGAAAGTGAAACTCTTGTATATGAAGTAAAAGTGCCTAGCAGTTACTGGTACCCAATAAATGGTAATACTCTTCCGTTTAGAAAACAGTTTAGTAAATCTTTTTGGTTATTAGACAACTGAAAAAAAATTGATTTTTTTCCTCGTTTTAAGCATTTGCGGATTTGACTATATTGTAAATATGTGTGGTCTATTGGCATGTTGTAACTATGTGAATACTTTTACACAAAGGTGAATACACTGATTTTTGGGTAATTGGGCAGGTTTGGAGAATAAAATTTTAAGAAGATAGGATTTAATATACACACTATATAGTTCCAAAAATGATTTGAAACAACTTAGTGTCCATATAGTACGATAGGGTAAAACAAAACTAAATGAGAAAATTGAGACAGCGCAGGAAAAAGAACACAAAATCAAGAGAAAAGATAAATCCAAGTACATACTGTAAGATCCTGTACCTAGAGATGAGTCCCAGTTTTGACTCTGGGCTTCCCTAGCAGCCAGGAAAAAAGAGGGAGGGAGAGGGGAACAAAGTTAAGTTTCAGTGTGTTTCTAATTCTGAGGTAGAAAAGAACCAGTTCTGCTTAAACAGGGCATTTTGTTGTAATGAGGCCTGAGAGGAACATTTTCTCACAGGCCTTAATAAAAGATTGTGTAATGCATTCCGCAGCATCTTTGAAATATCCCAACAGAAAATGATGAATTTGGAGAACAGTGTTCTTCAATATAGGGCAATAATAAAACAACTCTGAAGGCTTAATTTGATGCACTCATAACATTTAAATACTTAGAACAGTATTTCCCAAACTGTGTTCTAAGGAATGAGAAATCAGTAATTTAGTTCTTGAAATAAGATTCTAAGCTCAAAGAAGTTTGAGATAGCTGGGTTAGACAAATTCCAGTGTTTTTTTTTTTTTTTTTACTCAATTTCTTGGCTGATGTTCAAGTTTACTCTTTTAAAAGGGGATATATTTTGTGACCCTTTCCAAATTTGTTTGAGTATGAAACATAAATTGAGAACCACTGAACCTTAGAAATGAATGGATTGCCTATCCTTCAGGCAATTCTTCATGAGTATTTCTTACAAATAAGGTTTGATAAAGAGTTGGAGAGCAAAGAGTTTGAGGAGAGCCAATTTGGCAAGAACCAAAGTGAAGAAAAAAGTCAAATTATGCTATAAAACTATAGGTATCAGAGGAAAAAGTCTTTCCCCCTGAATTCTTTCATAGTTCTTCATTGTTCTGCAAGTACCTGTTGGACCACATGCTCTCTAGGACATTTTCCTGTTCGATGCTTCCAAGTACTCTATCTTGAGTTAGACTAGGGTGGAATTCCTTAAAGAACGACTTTAATTATTGTGTGTAAATATGTGAATAGCATGTTCTTTTTATCAGGCACGCTATTGGTAATATTGTTACTATCAAATTTTAGAATTCTGTAGCTGTAGAAGACCTTAAAAAGCGTGGTACATAGGGGAAAGAGCAAGGGATTTGAAGCCAGCAAGTCTGGGATTGTGCCACAAATGTGCAAGTTTGTTTCCAGCAAATTTATGAACCTCCCTGAGTCTGTTTCTTTATTTGTAAGATTTAAATGATGACAGCACACAATTCATTCAATATATGTTGAGGATCTAGTAAGTACTGGGTATTAGAAAAACAGCTTTAAGGCATGAATGAAATGATTATCAAGAATCCTTTACTGTCAGTTTTTTTTTTTCTATTCCTGAGTGCAGATAGCAAGAGTTTGGAGGGCAAGGAATATTTTATCCAAATGTGTTTGTTTTCAGAGTTTCAGATATCAAGTAGTGGGAGTTGAGAGAATGAGGGTTTGGTCCAAAAATGTATCTAGCTCCTTTCAGTTCCTATGTTTGTGTTTTGAGAGTTTGGATAACTAGAACACCTCCATAAGAAAGTATTCTATAAATGATGCAGTGCTATGCAAAATGTAACCATTTTGAAGACAAATTGAGGGCCAGAGGTATTGTTTGCACTCCATTTATAAGAGAGGAGTCTGCTGAGTATATCAGGTAGGATATATTGTGCTGTGGTAACAAGACCCTAATGTTCTCATGGTTTAAAACAAACAACAAAGGTTTGGTTCTAGTCACACTATGTGTCCAGTTAGGGTCAGCAGGAGAGCTGTTCCAGGAAGTTATTTGGAGCCCCACGTTGTCGGAGGGAACGCTTCCACAATTGTTAGGAAAGGGAAAAGGATGTGATGAATTGCATACTGGCTCTTAAAGGTTTCCACCTTTCTCTACTTCATTGGTCAAAACAAAGTTGTATGACTACACCCAATTTCAAGGAAGTGGAGAAATGCAATTCTATCTTGTGCCCAGAAGGAGGAGAACTGGAATAAGCTTTGGACAGTCTTAATGTCTATGCTAAGCAAGCTTTATAATCCCATAATGTGACACAAAATATGAATAAATCAAATTCAGATTATGTTTTTCAGTGTTCTATTTAGAAAATAGAAAACTGCATTTCTTTGTGTATGTATGTGTGTTTAATCAGAATTATGCTAATGAAATGATAAGAAACATCTTTTATTAATTGGAAATGAAATGCTTTTGAAAACTCCACAATTAGATATACTCTTCTGACCAAATGGATTTCATTCGTTTTGAATTATATGTCCATTCAATAAACATTTGTTAAGTATGATGCATATAAGGTTCTGTGTTAAATCCTGTGAGAATAAAAAGATGCGTTGAAAGTTTACAACCCCAACAGAAAATAGCTATAATTGAGTTCTCTCTCTTTCCCTTTCTCTAAACAACATTAGCAGGCTCTTTCAGTATGGTAAAACCTGATTATAAACCTACAAATAGGTTTAATAACTAACCAATAAACATGGTTTTGCCAAAGTCCTAAATAAGTAAGTAGATAGGTAGATAAATATAAATAAACAAATAAAACCTGATTGAGTAAGTATACACTGTTTTATACTTTGCCCCTAATCACCTTTTTGATCTTAGGGATTTTTTTTGTGACAAATTACTATAAACTAGTTTAAGCAAAAAGAATGTTTTGTTTGAAAGGAGTATAGCTTTATATCACAGAGACCAAGGGCAAGAGGTGCCCCTGAGTCTAGAAGCAACTGGTATCAATAACAGAAAGTTAGGAGTTGGGGCTGCTATCCCTCTCCAGGTCTATGTGTATGATTTCTTGCCTCTCTTTCTCTCTGCATATATACTTCATTCTTTTTCCCTTTTTTCTCACATACACTGGTTTAGTCTATTTCCCTGTTAAATGTTTTAATGTAAAGGTTGTCACACTTGAAACTAACTAGAGCCCTTTGCAACTCCTGAAGAACTAAATATTTTCTAAGTGTCAATCTTAAATTTAGAATCAATAAGAGTTCAAAAATGATAGACTTGGCCTTAAAGCATAAGAAGTTAGGGTAATTGGCAACTTTGTAATAGAGAAGGAAGCAGTTTTCTAATAGTTTGGTATTAAAGAAACCTGGGATGCCAGTTGAAATTCTGCTCAGTTAACATTAACGTGCATATTCTACTGGGACAATTTAGATTAAGATGATCAGGATAAGAAGGTAGAATCAGAGCTTGCTAGTAGCAACAATATCCCCTCCCCAAATGGTAAATGCCGTCTCCATTGTAATCATGTCATCCATTCCTTCACCTTCTCCCAAGGTGCTAATAATACCTGAATTGTCTCTTACAAATCACTTGCTTTTGATGCGGATACAGGGCTCCCTGGCTTCTCCCCACAGCTAATAATGCAAGAAGAAAGGAGCTTTGCTCCTTCTTATGTCTATTTTATATATATATAAATCTTCTTTAACATACTGCCTTGCTTTGCTCTTTTCTACCAGCCAAATTGGTCTAGACAGTCTGTCTGGACATTTGACACTTTAACATGCTATTGCCATATCTCTGCACCCACTTAACCTAATTTTATTCTCAATAAATTTGCATACTTTTTCTGTAAGCTATATATACTTAGCTCCTCTTAGCAAAGTTCCCTTGAATTCTTTAACCATGCAGTTTCTCCTTTCTTTCTGGTTGAAAAATACCCATAGCTTCACCTCAGCAGATGGCTGAGGGAAGGAATTATAGGGAGGTATAGTACATGTTACATGGGAAAGGGGGTCCCCAGCAAAAGAACAACAGAGGAAGGTCAGTAAAAGCTGTGTATTTGGATTGTCAGGGATGTATGTTAGGTTAAAAGAGCAAACAAAAGGGGGAAGAGGCTTAGGTACCATCTTGAGTACAG